CAGACCCAGAGTCCTGAGCAATGGATGGTAATAATGCAAAGTTATCCCAGGGAGCAGAGAGATGCTCGTACAACCGGGGAAAATCCCAAAAAGCATAGCATTTAGAGACCAGACGGTCCCGTGTCTCCCGGTTGTGACAGAAGTCTCACTGTCGAGTTCCAGGTGGACACCAGGGCAGGTGTCTGTAGCCATGTTTTCTGCAAAGTCAGACTTTTCGAGATTAAAAAGACTTTTTTAAAAGCACCCAAACAAGACAAGAAAAACAAACCTATATGCAGTTTATCTACATGGCTCAGCTTTCTTGTCCAAAGTCTCTGCAGAGAAACCTGTCTACGATGACAGGAAAACAAAAATTCTTTTAGAAGTGACATGGTGGGACTTTTTCAATGAAGTTCGGTGGTTTTTTGTTTTTTTTTTTTTTGACAAGGTGACTCTCTCTCTCTCTCTCTCTCCCCTCTCTTTCTCTCTCCCACCCCACCTCCTCCGGCTGCCTTGAACTTGGGGTTCTGCTCAGCCCCCAAGGCTGGGGTCACGGGCATGGCTGCCACACTTTGATGAAGAGGAGCTTGGGTGGTTGTTTACAGGTGGCGCCCATTGCTGTACAAGGCCTGTGTTCCCTCCTGAGTCCGTCCCTGGTAGGTTGGGACGGTGGCCTTGCAGCCTCCTGACCACATGTCCCACCTGTCCAGCAGGACCTCATCATGCACGTGAGAGACGTCAGCACCGCCCGACAGCGAGCTCCAGAAGGCCACCGTGCTGTCCACCCTGCTGGCTGGCGCTTGCCCAGCCACTCCTCGACTCCATGTTGGGAAGTCCACAACAAGGTGGACTGGTGCCGGGTTGTAAGCCGGCCCCCTGGACTGCATTTGGGGGGGGTCAGGGTGGTCTGGCTGCCAGCTCTTTGCTCCCTTTGTGGACAGTGTCCTCCCTTGCATGACTCACTGAGGTCACAGGTTCAACGCACCCAGAGCTGTCGCAGACCTGGCCCTGTGGGGGTTTGGGGACTCCAGGGTCCCTCATCTCAGGGGATGGTCCCCAGACTGAGCCTGGCCTTCCGACCCCGCACAGGTACTGTCCCCCGGAACCGAGCGCCATGGCCGTGTCTGCCCTCCTGGGGCGCGGGCTGGAGGAGCTTAAAGCTGAAGTGGAAGAGGCCATCTTGAGGGCGACGGGGAGACGGGTCCTCACCCTCCGAGTGATGCTGGCCGGGCCACAGCTCAGGTGAGAGGCCATGACCCGGGCTCCCGTGGCTGACACCAGCCTTTGTGTAGGAATGGCCCCTGGTAAGGATTTGGGGTGCGCAGATGGGCTGTGTTACTTCCAAATGAGCCGTGGACATCTCTGCTTGGTTCCCACACGTATACCGCAGGTGCCGAATCTGTGCTGATTTCATTGCGGGGTATAGGTCGTACCTTCTCCCCGATAACCAGGAAATCTGTGACCGTGGGTGTTGGGGCTGCGCCCTGCAGGGGGGTAACAGTGGGGACCTCACCAAAACACTGCAGCCTCACGGTGCCCTCGGTCCCCAGCTGGCTGTACAAGGAGGCCACCGTGCAGCAGGTGGACGTATTGCCTGAGGCTGGGGCTGCCCTCGTGAAGGTCACCATCAGCAACGCCGCCTATGGGAAGTTCCAGAAGCTCTTCCCAGAGTGAAGACGTCCATGCTGGGAGGGTTCAGATTCAGAGGTGTGACCTTGGGGCAAGCTATGGCGGTGGGTACAGGGTGACCTTAAGAGCATCTGTGACCGTGGGACAGGTGTTTGCCTTGGAGCAGTGTTGCCCGTCATCTTCTGGTCCTCCAGTGCCGGCAGGCTGCGCGGCAGCCTGGTCTCCAGGCCATGGGTCAGCAACATGGCCACCGTCCCACATGGATTAACGCTGTTCCCGGGGGTGCATGGCTGCGCCTTCCTCCATGTGCCATGGGACCAGGACGGGGTGAACATGTTGCTCAGGCTCACATGGCCTGCAGGGCCTGGCAAGGGGCGGTCACCTCGGATTACCCAGGGCCCTGTGTCATCCTGTCACCTCAATATCTGACCACATTCCTGTCTTTTCCAGGTGACATCTGATCACCGCCTCGTGCTCCAGCCTCCACTGAACCTGGCTGACCTAGAATATCTTACAGGGACCCAAGATATTCCTGGTTCCAAAACCAGGATGACAGGGAGGGGTGTCACTGACCCAGAGGACAAGATGGAGGGTCTCAGGTTCCCTCAGTCCAGGCTGGACTTCCCATGGGACAGTAAGCTGTGTCCCCACCTCTTTTTCCATTCCTGTCCACAGGAGCCCAGCGTCCTGTGCACCCGGCCTGCGCCATGGGACCCAGCACTTCTCAGACAAGGGATGCAGGGCACAGACCCGCATGGCCTTGTCCCCTCTGTCATGGACCGAGCAGGTCACTGGGAGGCAACAGGACACACCCTGTGCTGAATGGGACCCTGTGTCCCGAGGGTCACACGTGCCAGGGACACAGGACAGACAGGGACACAACGTCACTTCCTGTTGTCACCAGGGTCTTTGTCATGGAAGGTGTCCCTCTAAGATGGGCAGCTTGGGCATCCATCTTCAGATCGTAAATGTCTTTGGTTCACGTCGCTTGAAAGTCCCACAGAGGGTTCAGAACATGACACTTCCAAACTGTCACCTATTTTGTGAATTTTTAAACTCTGACTGAGAGCAGTGTGATGGCGGTGACATGGAACAAACCTTCCCATAAAGCCACCATGCTTGTCTTGGGGTTGTTATTATGGCACCAAAATTCACAGACACTCAGCTTTGATTTCCTTCAGTTTTTGTCAAGAATTAACTGACTCAGGCTGTCGTTCCTCACACAGACACAAGGACCGGGTGCGTTGTGGGAAATAAATGGCGGCTGTGGTGTCAGATGTGTCCTTAGGCCCCTGCCTCCATTTTCCTTGCTCTGGCAGCCCTCTGGCACTTTTGGGTTTCCTGTTCTTATTACTCTCGGCTCTGATGGCACAGCACTGACAGGTGTCCTGTGCTTTGTCCTCTGGTCACTTCGTTTAAACATGGCAGCCAGATCTCAAAAGCACACACAGGTTTTCCGTTGGAAAACGACTAAGTGCGTCCCATGTGGACGACCACATCCAACACCATCCTGAGCAAGTCTGACATCGGGTCTTTTCCCGATTTCCAGAATGTCCAGAACAGAGTCAGCAGGACGTTGAAGTCAAGGCAGAATAGGTTCATTGTGGGGTGGCCTGTGCACGGAAGGAGGCACTCCTGTGATCTTTGACCCCTTGGTATCACAGGTGACTCTCGCATGACCCCACATGACAGGTGACACTTGCGACACGTGAGGTCACAGCTCAGAGGTCTGCAGGGAGGGTTGGTCACAGGCGGTTCAGTCATAGTCACCACCCACCCTGCGGTGACCCGGACCTGGAAAGAAGCAGCTGGGTGTGAAGTCACAGTCACAATCATGGGCAGCTGGCTTCTGGAATCCTCCACGCTGGGGTGGGGCTCAGCTGTGCAGAACAAGGACAAGAATCAGCTTGTCACAGCGTGGGCGTGTGAAGTTGTCGGGCCACCTGAGCTGCACCTGTGACGCCTGTGTGATGAAGCCCATACGGAGGCCTGGGACACAGGACACATGCTCATCGCTGTCGGCCTGCAATGCCGTCCTTTGGTCCACCCACAAATCCACTTCTGTTGTCAGTCACAAAAGGAAAATGCATTCACTGAGCTCCAAGGAGGTGTGCAGGCGGGAGAAGCCCCAGCCCTCCGTTTCTCTGGAATTAAGCAGTCATTTCTAGCTGGGTGCAGAGGCTCATGCCTGTAATCCCAGCTACTTGCGGTCACGGTGCAAGGCCAGCCCCCAGCAAATACTTCAGGAGACCCCATGCGCACAATAACGATAAAACGCTGTGTCTCTAGCTGCAGAGAGTCCTGAGTTCAAACCAATCCCACAAAAATAAGAAAAGTCACGTTTTTATATTTCTTAGTCTTCCTTGGTAGCAGTCCAACGCTTCAGTCTGTCCAGTTAGCATCGTGATTTTGGACACTCAGCAGATCTTTGACGACGGTGGTGTCATGGTGACCCTAAGTCTTTGACGTTTCCCGTCAGCATCCTTAGCGCTCGGGATGAGAAGGATGGCCATCTTTACCCGTGCCACGTCTGGGAGCCCGCCCTGAGGAAGACACTGAACGAAGAAGAAAAGCGACAGCAGTGGCACTGCTCCATGTCCTCGAGGTCACCGCGAACACCCGTCTTCCCGCTGCCATTTAGGATCCAGGGAGGCTCAGCCCGCCCGCAAGGCCACAGGGACCAGGTCAGCACACAGGAGCTTGTCGTTGAGCCTGATGACGTCACTGACAAAGGTGTCGGCGCCGATGAAGTCACCGGCGATGATGTTGGTGCAGCGGGGCCCGGGGCCCGGGCACTGCTCGCGCACCCAGGCGCTCAGGTCCGGCAGGCTGGGCAGTGTCATCGTCCTCAGGGACCCGGACGGGTGCACCAGGACATATCCCAGGTTCTCTGTGAGGTTGGTGCCCGCCACGAAGAATCCCCCTGCAACGAGGACAGCAGTCATAAGCTGAAAAATGTCCCCAGAGACGTCCACCGTGTCCCAGTCCCATGTGGTGGGCAGAAGAGTGTCCCCAAAGACATCCATACACATTCTGACCCCAGATTGGCGACTGGGGATTCCTGGAGCAGGGGTGGCCTGGCCACCATGTTTTAAGGAGCCCCCCGGCCATGAAGCTGGACCCCTGTGATAGTCGGCAGCTGACTCGAGATTGGGAGTCGCCATGCCATCCATGCTCTGCAACAGTTTGGGTCCCCGTGGACGGGTTGGCCTCTGGCACTGGCACTGTTGGGAGGTGTTGGTACCTTTAAGAGGCGGGGCCTAGTAGGAGGGAGTGAGGTCATTGGGGTCACGGCCGTGGAAGGGGACACAGGGACCCCAGTCTCTGCGCTTCCTGGCTGCCGTGATGGGAGCAGCTTGGCTCCTCCGCCTGCTCCCGCCGTCTTGTTCTGCCTCACCATGGCCCAAAGCCATGGAGCCCAGTGACCATGGACTGACACCATGAGCCCAGATCAAGCTTTTTCTCCTGTAGGGTGATCATCACTGGCATTCTGTGGCAGCTTGTTGAAACGCTAACCCTAATTACAGCACCAGGGTGGTCATTGCCTGGGCAGCAAGGGGCTGGGTTAAGTGATGCTGCTTTGGAGTTGGCTCTGGGCCATAAACCATGAGGAACCATGAGCGGACGGGCTGAAGCCTTGTGCCACTGGGTGCGATCACCCATTCCCAAAAGGAGACCCCCATACCATTACCAGTCAGTCCCCATCCCCTGGTCTCCACTTTCTTTCTCTGTAGATTTGCCTGCTCTGGACATTTCCTATCCATGGAGTCACACACCGTGTGGCCTTTTGTGTCTGGCTCCACTCACTGGGTTCGTGTCCTCAAAGTTCATCCCCATTGTACTGTTTTTCAGGGGTTCCTTTTCATGACTGCATCTTATTTCACACCGTGGCTATATGACATGGTTGATCCATCTTTGTCTAGTGACATTTGGTGGCTTTGCCTGCTTGGGTGCTTTCCTACAACCAGAAAGTTGGACCACAGTGCAGCCAGCAGGTTTGGGAGCAAGACTCCATCCTGGAGCGATGGTGACCAAAAATTGAGCCATACAAGCACAAGCTGTAGTGCACATACACGCACTTCGGTGTATGTAAAGTACATGTCGTGGCAAAGTTGCCGGGGTTACAGGCGTGCACGCCAACACCAGTCAAACAGCACTTTTAAGTCTCTTGCACTTAATGCTGAAAGCAACCCTGGGTGTCCACATGGCAGACGCATGTCCCCTGCCCCGCCTCGTACCTGGACGGCCGCAGCTCTTCATGGCCTCCAGGTAGTGGATGAGCGCCTGGGTTTTCACCTGGTTGCCCCACCAGTAGGATCCCGGGCCACAGCTCAGGTGCCGGCTGACGGAGCCCTCGTCCTCGTAGGACACGATGACCTGGTGTCCTCGTGCCCACAGCTGCCGCAGTGTGGCACATCCTGGGAGAGGGACAGGAGAAACTGGGTGACGGGGACCATGGCACTGGTGGCTTTCACATCTCAGGTCCCCAAGACTCGAGGCTGCCACCTCCCATCCCCCCACCACCCCAGGGGGAGAGCCAACATGGTGAGTGCCATCTATAGGATTGTAGGCCCGTCCCCAGCTCCTCACCCTCGGGGACACAGCAAGCACCAAAGATATTCTTGATGCAGGTGTGAGATACTCATGCAGTCATCGTCCCATGCCCTCAAAGTTCTGCAGCCAGGATGAGCACCTCGCGGGGGTGGCTCTCCAGCCACTCTGAATCTCCGTCAGCGTGTCCTGCATGGGAATCGGGGACGGCCCGTGTGAGGTCGATGTTCCCCAAAGACCAACGGGAATGAGGTGACTCCCCCACAGACAACCAAGGGGTAAAAACTCATTCGGGGACACAAAGCTGGGACACGTGTGGCTGCCTTGATGGACACGGGCCAGAGGGAGCCACAGGGTGAAGACCGAGTTCCCAGGGGCCTGGAAGAGGACACGGGTCACCTGTGGTACCCCTCTCGAAAGCCCTTGACAACCAGGAAGTCCCAGTGTGGGGCCTGAGGACCCGTAAGCCTCCTTGTGCAATGCTTGTCAGGGACACTGGTGCAGAAAGTCCCATGGCCACACGCCCTGAGTGACAGGCCTTCTGGACTTTGTCCAGGTACCGCTTCCCCACCTCCACCAGGGCGACGTGTACACCATGTGCACGAAGTGCAGGTTCTTCTCTGAGCCTCCGCCATGTGTGGCGATCCGCAGGTCCAGGTACCTCACCCCAGCGTCCAGCTGCTCAGTGACATCCAGCGTCTGAGGACAGAGGCCATCATCACCTCCACCCTGGTCTCCTGGACACATCTCTCTTCCCTGGGCTCAGAAGGCTCAGGTGTGCACCTGGGCCACACTGCCTGGGTGACTCGGTGTCTGTCACCACTGATGTGTTGGCACTGTGCCGGTGAAGCTGACCTCCAATGCTGGAAGGCTGTCCACGGACTTTGTCCCTTTGCTGAGCCCCTCGGTTCCTGACTCTGGTCCCTGCAGAGTCCTGGCCACCCTCCTTCCTGAGCTGTGACCAGAATGGGACAGAAGCACCCTGTCCTCAGCAGCCCTGGACCAGGTGCTCAGACAGACATTGGACTCCAGCGTATTCTGGGGACACAAACACAGGGCCAGTCGGGGACACCCCAGACCCCACAGTGGATTCTGTCTGTGCCTCATTGTTCTTTGATGTGAATTCAGCACCAAAATCATTCCTTGACCTACAAATTTCCTGGAGGGTCCTCGGCTTGATGAAGTGCTGTTGTCAGCTGAGTCCCACTAGGGGCTAAAGGACCCTGTCCAGCACTTGACCAGGCTCCTTGTTGCTGGATTCAGAGCCATACTGTCCACATCCCACGTCACCAAAGCCACCCAGAGCCGTACCTGGGTGACGGACCACTTGAGCACCACGGGGCGGGTGATGCAGGGGTGCCACCTTGCCCCAGAGCTGCAGCAGCCGGGACTCGTGGAAATGGGGACTTCTTGTTCAGACAGTAAGTCATGGTGTCGGTGACTGCCTGGGAAACACCACACAGGGACTTGTCACCTGTCGTCCACCTCATGCCCGGGACGTGAGCTGCACACGTGGAACTCATTGCAGATGGGATGTGGGCCCCAAACTCTTTCCCCTGTGACTGAGCATGGGCCCATGTGGAAATAGGGTCTTTGCAGGTGGAATTGGGATCGTGAGATGAGGTCATCCTGGACCAGCTGTGTCACCCACTCCATTGGGTCAGGCCCCATATTGGAATATGGTCACGTTCCATAGAAACTGAGGGGGAAAGCGTCTATTCCAAAGCTGTGTCACCTGAGACCTGACCATGGGACTTCGTTGTTTGTGGAGATGGGGTCTCGAGGTGCCGCCTCACCTGGATGGACAGGGGTGCAGGGGCACATCCCACAAACGTGGGCACAGGCCCGACATCCAATCGCATTCCCGCAGGACAGGCTGCAGAAGCAGCCGGAGCGCTCATGGCAGGTGAAGTCTGTGCAACCTGAGGAAAAGGCAGTTTTGGGGATCAAAATGATGGGTACTCAGAGGTTATGTGTGTGGGGAAAAAACCCCAATTTTCCCTAGAGAGAATGTGGTGGTTGGGTCTGGGAGGCTTTTCTAAGCAAAGAGGGGACAGAGAAGACAATGTCACAGGGTCCCCAATTCCTTGCTGCAGCCCTGACTCCCAGGACCCAGTATGTGGCTATGTTTGAACATGGGTCTCTTAAAGAAGATAAAATAAGATCACAGGTGGCCCTAATCCAGGCCAGGACTGGGTCCTGATAAAAAGAGGATATAAGGACACAATGCAGACAGAGGGATGACCCTGTGAGGACACAGGAGGAGATGGCAGCTACAAGCCAAGGTGCATGGATGGATGGATGGATGGGTGGATGGGTGGATGGATGGATGGATGGATGGGTGGATGGATGGATGGATGGATGGGTGGGTGGATGGGTGGATGGATGGGTGGATGGGTGGATGGATGGGTGGATGGATGGGTGGATGGATGGATGGATGGATGGGTGGGTGGATGGGTGGATGGATGGGTGGATGGATGGATGGGTGGATGGATGGGTGGATGGGGTGGATGGATGGGTGGATGGATGGGGGATGGATGGATGGATGGATGGATGGGTGGGTGGATGGATGGATGGGTGGTGTGGATGGATGGAGGGTGGATGATGGATGGTGGGTGGGTGGATGGATGGGTGGGTGGATGGGTGGGTGGATGGATGGTGGGTGGGTGGTGGATGGATGGGTGGAATGGGTGGGTTGGTGTGGGGTGGGTGGGTGGGTGGGGTGGGTGGATGGATGGTTGGATGGGTGGGTGGATGGATGGGTGGATGGGTGGGTGGGTGGGTGGATGGGTGGGTGGGTGGGTGGGTGGGTGGGTGGGTGGGTGGATGGATGGGTGGATGGGTGGATGGGTGGATGGATGGATGGGTAGATGGATGGTGGCAACCCAGTAGGTCATCACACTCTGGGACCCACAAATCTTTCCCATTGGAACAAAGCCTCACCATAAACAGGGAGCTGTGTGCCTGGCACATTCCCACACCTGGTTTTACCCCCTCAGTGTATATTTCACTGAGCCATGAAAGGGATTTGTCCCCCATACAGGCCAGTGTGGCTGAAATGTTACTTTGAGCTGAGGGTATCTGTGTCCTGGAATCTGATTTCTGTCCAAACACTAAGTTATGAATCCGCTCTCAGTAGCAGCATGAATTCTGTACTTAGAGACTAAATTCTGTGCTCACAGACTCCCGGTCTCCTGTTCTAACAACCCCATTGTCTCTCAAAAGGTCCTTTGATTTTCCATAAGTGCCCCCTTTCCCCTCCTTTCCCCCACAATGTTGGCACAGAGACCCCAAATTTTATTCAGTCGTTGGAGTCACTCATTCCCGAGAACCCCATGGATAAGTAACAATACCCTTGGTTTGTGCTTGCTCACCTGATTTATGTGAGGAAAATCCTCTCCCACACCCTCAGCATGTGTTTGT